GGGTACGTATGCTAACCCCAACCCCATCCGGCTATTGTCCGAGCGTTCACCTGTAGTCTTTGCACAGCCAAGTGTTACTTACAAGGCAGCGGTGATCTGGAAAACTGTCTTAACTTCTGGCTGTTGGATCAGGGGTCGATCTCTTCCGCCCAGTTGTCAGGACTGATGTTTCACGCAGATACTAACTCACCGAGAGTAGTGTTCACTGCTGCCCTCACCTGGTTTATCCCGTCTCCCTGAAGGTTGACCGGGGTTTGGCCGCTGCTGCGTGCAAACAACTTCTTGCATCCACGGGTGAGAGCTGGATGACAGGTGGAGATCAAAGATAGGTGGAGTACTCCGGAGGGTAAATCAGGTCCCCTACCAGAACTTCTCCCTGATCACCCCTTCAGGGAGCTAGGCTGTAGCCGGACTGTTTGGAAGTGGTGATCAGCTTCTGTATACAAGTCTAGTGTCGCTTAATGCCTTGAGGTGGATTGCGACTGTGTGGGTATGCCAGTGAAAACTGATAACTCGTCTGGACCGAGGAATCAGCTAACGTATTCGCGCTTATCTTGCGCTGCTTTGTTTTTGGGAACCCCACAAAATGTGTTGCTTTTTGCGCAGTTCAGCACATGATCTGAATGCAACTGGACCAACAACACCTGCACTCCCGTACGCTGCCACGCCATATGAAGCAGATTGTAATAGGACCAATTTGAGATCACGCTTGTGTTGGCGAAGGGAATTGTCAAGTTGCGGAACGTTTCTTCATATGCTTCAAGTTGGTGCTCGACAGAAAGTGACGGTTGTCTTCTCACAGTATGAGGTCTCTCCGTTCTTTGAGCGGTCCTGATCGAGCCCGTGGGGGCCACCAAGATGACGCTCGTACAGTAACTGACGGCTAACCCGTACATTGAAATCCCCAGCAAGAACAAAGACATCTTATTTACTGGCGTTACCCAAGAGTTAATCTAACTGTCGATAAAACTTGTCCTTGACCGAGCCACCACTGCAGTCACTTGGGACATACGCGAAGATCAGAACCAAGTTACGTTTCTCATCGCGACGTTTGTTGGTTCTACAGGAATCCTTAGGCTGAACTGCACGCAGTCGGGAACCAGTCCAGCAGTGGGACGTCGACCTTGCCACTTAGTGCTATACGTACACCAGCCAAACCCGCTGAGGCTGCTTCTGGGTCTCCAGAAAGAATCAGCTGGTATGCAACTTTGTGGTTACTGAGGGATGTTAATATAAGCAATCAGATTTCGGAAAGGCTGCAGACATCAACATCGAGGGACTCTAGGGTGCGCGCTAGACCGGCTTGCTGTCCAATATGTCTGAATGTCCGTACGTTGACTTACCTCAGACGGAACGAGGATCGGGGTCGAGGGCGAGCCACAGATTGAGCTCCAAGGTTTGCGGTGCAACCAGGATCTCAAGTAGATTCACGAACACAGGAATCAGGTAACGGATGACACGGATCATTAACCAACAAAGAATTTGCATATGATGAAGTCGCTTGAATGTAAGAAGCAGTAATAAATAATAAACCATGTGTCAGCTGTATGCCGTAACGGCGCTTCGCTGCCGTGCGACCACCACCAGTCGCACACGGGCTTAGTACACCGCGAGGACGCTCATCCTTACTCAGGGACAGTGGTATATGAGCACACTATAGAACAGTTCATGGCTTTTTGTCAGAGGGTGTGATACTGCCCGGTTGCCCAGGCCGAAGTAGGGAGGTGACTTTGGGGACCCCACTCCGACCCTTTGGCTAAATAGCCAACCCGTAAGGCAGCAGGGCGAACTCAGGAAATCGCGCCCATTGGGAGCCCGTGACTGCTCAGGTCATACGCCTTTCTTTTGGTCGGTTACCAAGCAGGGACGCAATCCCCTCGACGATTTCAGCTAGAGGATGCTATATTACAAAGCTTCGCCGTAATGAAGCAAGGGACTGTGATTTTATTTAGTGACGAGTCACCTCCGCCACGTCACAATGTTGTTAAGCAGAAAAATGTGGCTTTTTATAGGGAAAACGCTTGCCAAGCGAAAACCACCACGTCCTGAAACCCTGCCATCGAATCATTGGCAGTGACGGAGGAATCCCGAACCACGCAGTTGGCATCGCGAGGAGGCCGTTCAATTAGTCAGCTATTTATAACTGAATTTAACTTTCTTTGATCAAATCATCGACTAATCAAACTTACGGCGAAGTAGTAGATTTAACTTTTTTGATGTTCATCACATCTGGGCTCGGTGAGACAACCATCACGTGCCCCGAAAAGCACTGCACGGCGGTTTCCTCGTTTCTTGAATCAGCAGTACGCATCCCATCTGACTCCTGTCGTGCTAGAACCCGCCACCCGACTGTTACCAGTCGGTGCTTAAAACCATTGGGCTTGTCTCAACTTACTATATCGCATTACACCAGACTGAACCTGTTAACTCGCGTGATCGTCGTTAACTCTGGTTTCCCGACCATTTTGTAGACGGTTCTTGCTGGCTTCGATGTCCATATAATCCCGTCCATTTTTTTCCTTTTTGTTGATTATCCGTCTTTATACCTTCCGCGAATCTCATCACCACAAGTTGCTTTGCAATGACGATCTCCTCTTACCTATGTCTATTCCCTTCATTTCCACGGAACTCTACTATACTATTTCGCAACGTTGCCCTCAGCTTCATCCAATTCCTTCCGCTGCGGCACAATAGCTGAGGTGTTTTCCACCTGCAACTAACATGCATAATGAATGACAATAAATTTCTTCCGCTTAGCTGCTTTCATCTTTATGTTCTTCAGTCTCTCGTTCCCTCCATCCACCACCTCATTAGTGCGGTTTCTGAAAGTGCAGTCTGACAGCAATCCGAGGAGACTAACCGCCACCTTGTAGGTTTGGAGAATTTAGACTTTTACACTAGATTATCCATAGTTACAGAACACCATTAGGCATCATGTGAACAGAAGATGCTTGCGGTAATCTTCCCGATGTTGCTTTTCAACGGGTACACTCATGAAAGTAAAACCGGGCGCGTGCACAGACCCCACAAGTTTTCTGTGTCTGTTGCTTGACAACCGTTACACAACTTCCCGCGGCGTCTCCTGCATATGCTTATCCGACTTTACAATTATACCATAGACACTAGGTTCAGACCGCGGCACACACGTGTTCGACACCGACTCCCTCAATAGCCTATTTGTTGGCAGAGGAGCATCAATAACCATTGCGATAGTATACTTCGTAATACTAATAACAATAGCAACGGTGATAGAAATAATGATGGTATACTTCAACCTCCAAACCAGGTGGGCTGACCAGGCCAAGAAACCATTCATATTACTTGATGTTCCAGATCGGTCATATCCAAGGACGGCGTTGAAGTATCATCTTGCTCATTTCGTGATTAACCCATGCTCTACTACTCCATTGGAGCTGTTCCTCGCTAACCTTGGCTATCACAGGGTACCGAAGGTACTGGGTTCCAATGGGGATCCTGTCAGTAGCATCACCGAACGAACAGATATGCACGATCTCACAACGCGGCGGTGGACAAATCCTACTGGCAGGTCACGATTAGCCGCACAACCAGTCTACTAAATGTGATACCTACTGTTAGCCAATTAGCAAACAGAACATAAGTGAATGTCATTGCCCAGGAAGAGGTGGTGAGTGTTTTACTAATAATAACTAAATACCCCAGTTTTCCGCGTTAGTGAAACATTTCCCCACGATCAAAATCGAAAATTTCGCGAAATGTCTGCGGTGCTAACATAAAATTCCGTATTTTTACCGCGAAGATTAAAACAAATCGAAATCAATACACCCTTATCCACTATGTACATGTCAGTCATGATTTAAGACAGCGTACTTAAAATATAGCCCGACAAGCTGTTTTGTGCTACTATCTGAAAGCTTGTGACATTTTTCAGACGTTTTTGTGAACACTATATCTCCGTTCAACATCTGAATTCACAGGAATGCATAGATGATCTCCGGCAATGTCTGGCATTTGTGGAGTTCTTACATTCATTCCACACCAGAAAGTCAGCGCGTCTTCGTATTTTTTCTCCATGCAGTTCTTTCACCACTTTTCGCTACATTAGCTATTCGACTGCTAGAGCTGAGGGGTCAACCAGGCCTGGAACGTCTGTATAGTTACATGGATCCCTGGACAAAGCGATGAGCTGGTTGTGATCGAGCACTCTAATGGTTTTCGAAAACGGCCAACTATACTGACAGATCACGACGACTTTAGTCGGTCAGTGAATTCACACGATCGCTTGTATTGGGCTGCCAAGCCCAATTCAACGAAGTGGCCGCTGTCCAACGCCTAAGAGGCGACAGTGCATCAAGTTCCCGGCTGATCATAATGGTCTGAACGAACAGTCGTTGAACAGATTTAATGTACATGTGGGCAAAAGGCGTTTGTATAACGGACAACGCATAGAGTGCACAGCGTGAGCAGACAGATGGGACGTGTTTACCTAATAGCTGGATGCATGAGTGTCATTTGGGTCGGGATAAAACTGTTAACGAGGCAGGCACCTCTTTCCTAGCAGCCCGGAATAGTTGACCATGACGCAGATCGAAGCTTATTGGTCAACCAATGAGTGCGTGCTAAGGATAATGCTTCACTTTGAACGCTACCATTGAGGATGGTCTACCTTGAAGCCTGCCATTGAGCGTTAGGCCATTTAGTAACCATGGGTTCGACCCCATCATTGATTTGCTTACACTGCTTGCCGAGTGCTCAAAGCAGTTTCCGTCTGAGGCCTTTGTCTTCTTACCTGGGAAGTCAGCCGGTCAGCTTTCGCGGCAGTAGCTGATTACCCCTATAGTCACCGGAAACCACAACAAGACCTTCGGCCATAGCTGTGAATGGGGAGACAAGGCGATTTGGATAGCAGACGGCGGTTATGATACTCAACATGATGTTCCAATAGCCAACTGGTTGCTTTGCCATTTCTTCCGTATGAGTATGTGGATTACAAAAATAGCGTATTCAACGTACTTTTCTTTATGAATTCCTCGTTTTTTTCCAAGATTCGGCGAAAGTTGTCATTTCCCGTAACAGTTGGTAAGTTACGCGACTTTCCTGCGTTTCTCTGAATCGCAGGATACGGATTTTTACTAACGTATCGTTCTCATGATCCGAGACACTGTGTCTGTAGCGGCACAGATCAGTGTGTACTAGTAACACTACTGTGTGATCGTTATGCGTATATGAAGTATTGGGGCATGCCATTCATGTAATAGCCTCCTAATGGGTGGTTGAGCTGAAAGCCAAACTTTGGAAGCGTGGTTGTTTCAATGCTTTTAAGCCCCTCTTGAAATAGCTCGTCGAGTAATTTCTCCCTTGGGAATATATTCATTCTTGAGAGCTTGTTACTAAATGTTGTCACATGATTTGTGTGTACTTGGCAGTTTATTCCACAGATAGCTATGACTGACAAGGAAAACTTCGAGCCAATGCGCGTTTTAGATTTTGTTATAATCAGTGTATAACCTTTGCCGTGACGTTCTCGAATTGGGCTATGTTGCAGTTCGTGCGTAGACAGATCAGAATATGTTTTTTTTGTGCCACACCTTATAAAGCAGTAACAAATTACGTTTCAATCGTCACATTCAAAGTGGTTCAAGTTGAAGTATTTTGCAACGCTCTTGATAAATCACGGTAGAGTGTTTACCAACCAGATGCTTAGTAAACGGCTTTCGCAATTCTGTCGCTCCTTTTCATGTTGTCTTTTATTACTCTACAGTACTTAAGGATGGAGCGGATAAATAGCTTAAAAAAGTTTTACTCTAGCACTGGTTGTGGGGATTTTGCTAGATATATTAATCACAGTTACTCTGGTACGTACTACTCTGTTTTGGGCCTGCACGAAAAAGTTAGAGATAGATGAGTACCTAATTCTGTCTTCACCCTTGGACGGCTGTATTGAGACATATCCTCTGTTTAATGCACCAGATCCTTCGGAGATTCAATATCCGTATGACATGACGCTTTACTTCTTAGCTGAAAGATTCATCATTCACTTGTGGAACCATGACTCAAGGGAATGCAAGTCATTTTGAATGAGTAGTAGCATTCCGTGAGGTTCGTTACACCGAAGCTTATAGACGATGTTGATATCGTAGACGAATCAAAATGGCTGACCATGTTTTCCAAATGATGATATTATTGATGTAGCATGGAAAACAAAAGACCGAGTAATCTCCTTTGGATAACCGCACTAATGATAGGGCCTGGAAAAGAGCGATAGTCCACCTGGTGGCGACCACTCTGCTATGATAATAGCCAAACAACTAATGGGTCCGGGATCCTAAAGCCTAACTTTTGTAACAACCATGTGTAAGGTACCCAGTGGAATGCTTGGTGTATATTAAGAAGTAGAATTACTACTGCATAACCGCAATCGATAACTTCTGGAAAATAGTTCCCCTAATACACTTGACAGGTAATGCATCATCGCTTGTCAAGAAAACTACGCTGCGATTTTATTTGTTAGGCAAAAAGAATTGACAAAATCCGCCACTACCTTTTTGATCAGTGATTATTGGTGTGTGGTGGAATAGCCGGTAGTTTTTAATCGTTTATTATGGGCCACCGTTGTGACGAGGCATGATAACCGACGTTTTCCATTTACCTGGAATTTGGCTAGATTTCACGATAGAGTGCACATCTTCATCAGGTGCAGTGGTATGTCAGGCCCTCCTAGTTTTATATTGGTTCGTGGAATGCTATCAGATCCCAGCTTGGAAGATGGCTTGATTGGCCTTATAACTTGGTGGACACCGTTAAGCAAGATATCGACTATGCTCAACTGGGTTCTTACTGCAAATACTGCATATGCATTTACATGGTTTTCTTCAAGACTCAGGAGTGGCGAACTAGTCACAATCACAGAGTGCAGCTGCGTCATAAATTATGTGGCCTTTACCGTCCACATGTTCAGTGATCGAAAGGAGAGCGGTCACTGGTTTCACAACGCAGCAGCAGCTTGTTCGTAACGCTATATGTTCTTCATTTTTTGGCATGTTCTCTGCTTATGTCTGAATGGTGATAAGTTTGTGAATTTGTAATATCAGTGAAAAACCACTGGTCTTTCTTAGCGATGCAGATAGTTCATTTGTTTTTTCCTGTTAAGTATTCGCCGGTAACTTTGGAGTCATGGACAATAAGATCACGTTGTAAAGCAAGGATGGCTATAGCCTGATGGATATGATTGTAAAACCACTCCACAACCGTGTACACATTTGTAGAAAGGATGATTGCATCCCAGACAGAAAAATGGACCAACTGCCGAAAGCATTCCCAGTTTATTTTGTGGGTTACACGTCACGGTGTAGGGGCGTGCTTGGGGACCATTATAATGTGAAAACTGAGTGGCATCATTTTATGCTCGCTACCAGGTAGATTATTGAAGATCACCGTCTGTGGCTTGGGTCTCCCCAATATGGATATGAAGTCCAACACAATGGTTGGCCTGGTTGGACTGGCAACGCATTGTGTTCAGCCCCCTCCTCTAATGGAAGAAAGAAAATGTGCCAACGATGACGACGCGTGAAATGATCAGCGGAAGTTTGGTAACTTGAAACCACCAGAAGTACTCGTCCGGCGCTGTTTCAAAGCTAATGTGACCGGCTATAGGGTCACTGACCACTCACTCCTGTAACTGGGGCTGAGTATCTAACGGAGGGCGGATGAACAACCTTGCTGGCCACTGACTTCTCTGTGGACTGCTTCCGAATACAAAGAAGGCGAATGAGCCAAATGGGTGTCAGCGGTCTTCGTGAATCGCGTCGCTGCCTTGCGAGTCAGGTCTTTATACCAAAGGTTCGAGATGAGGCTACTTGAATCAACCCTCTTCCTCGACCTGGTCAACCGGGACGCTCAATGTCCACACAACACATGGAACTTTGCTTCCAGCCCTCTGACTCTCTCTCGTCTCTTTGTTATTGTTACTCATGTTGTGGCACTCTACCAATTGTTTATTGGACAAGTGTTGATATATATATATATATATATATATATATATATATATATATATAATCTGTTGTCTGTATGACAACCTTTATGCAGAGTCAAAGGCAGAAGTGGGGTTGGCAATCCCCACGTTAGACGCGTTCGGTGGTTTGTAACTATAAGCAAGCAGTATGTCCTAAGTGATAATTGCAATTGACAGCCAAATGGATTCGTGGACATTTTCCACTTGTGAGCGGTCTATACACTCACCTGTAAATGTTCTCTACACGTATTTGATACATCCTCTACCTGTTTTGATGCAGTGATCTTTTCGTAACTGATGGTAGTTTACAATCATCAGAGTAAAGTCTACTAAAGGAACGTCATGTTTCGGTCACGAGGATCGCTTGTGGGCCATTAAGCTGTGCAAATATGTCCAAAAAGTGAACTTGGTTACTTATGGATCTGGCAGTATGCAGTCACCGGCACTTACCGTGTTGGAAAATGCCGCAGTCTGTTGCATGGTCGCCTAAATATCTAGGTTCGTGCATGATGCATATGGTAGATAAGTGCGACAGTAATGGGGTCGAGTCCGGTTTGCAGCACTACAATAGACCCACATTTCACTTATACCGGATCGTGTGGTAATAACCGTGGGAATTCACACACCTATGTGCAACGCCCCACTTCAGCCAGTCAAATAAAATAACCAATACAACATCCAAAGAAGGCAAGAGACCACGGTCAAGTACGTAAGAGATTCGCATCTTATGCAACGGTGGGGTTTAAACTACAATCCTTGCATCGATTTTACACACTTACCCTAGTTCATCATCACATGAACAAATGCAAATAAATTCAAACAGACAAGTAATGACCCCCCCCCAGCGGTATTACCTTCGCGCCTTGCATTTGTTGGTTAAGTATGTTTCAGCTTAACACCGCCCGATGTCTACGAGGGAGGGAAGGTGTGTGTGTGTGTGTGTGGCAATGACATGTGTCGTGGGAATATCCCGTGACAATATTACTAGAGTGCGGTTGAAACAACCTGGACCGGTTTAACTCTTTTCCTCGGCTCATTTTATGTGCAATTATAGTGACCACTTCAGCCATTCGGCCCATTTAACTCTTGAGTCTAACATTTTTTGGCGGCAGTGGATTTGTAGGCATTTCGCTTTGCAGAGCACATTGATTAACTTAGGAGCTTCACTGTGTCATCTCAGGTGACAGGCCAAGTGATGGTCAACATCGAAAGGAGAGTAAAATAAAAGAAACACTATCAATAATGCACAGTAAGAAGATGAAAGCTGATAGCTACATGCGTTTCGTATTGTCTCCTCCGTACCATCAACAATAACCAGTATGCAACTATATACCTAACTTTGCGGGTGACCAAATAAGCCTGAGGTGCACACGAATTTGTAAATGCAGTATGACTTGGCCCCGATCGGTTGAGCTTCCTTCGTGTGCGACTGCGGAAACAGTTACATAGGTAGAACCAATCAGTCTTTGACTTCCCGAATAAGGGAACACGTGCCAAGGTGGGTTCAACGTGAAAGTGACCAACATCCCTGTCCCACTGAAGTTCCGTGCTTGCGCAAGCCACCAGCTTCTTCGATAGGTAAACATCTACTGACTGCGCGTCGCCGGATAGAGCTTGGATCAGCGTTCACACTTGTATCACGTCACCCGAATCCCTGCTTCCTCCGTTTCGCCGAGGCCATTGAGATAAGCCGGATGAAACCGACCCTGTGTGTTCAAAAGCAATTATCTGTCAGCCTAAGGCTGCTGTGAACATAGGGGTGGAACTTCCGTCATACATTATGCACCTCTTGCTTATTTGGTCACCCGCAAACTCATAGTTGCATACCGGTTATTGTTAATGATACTGTGGAGACAATACCAAATGCGTACATCTACTAGCTTTCGCCTTCTTACCGTGCTTTTCAAATTTCTGAAGAGAACTAACTGCTTTAAATAATAAAAATGATTATATAGTTCATGATAACATGAGACATGATCTCTTGGAGTATATTGAGTATTGGCTACAAGCATATTGTGTGATGTCGCATAAAATACACAACGGTGGCGTAATGTCAAGTGCAGTAGCC